GAGATATATAGGCTCAAAGTGGACGATCCTGGTGTCGTTCTATTAGAGGTTTTACGGTAACCAACAAAATTTTTGAAATAATGTTTTCTACAATTTACTAGTTGACCATTTTTTGATAGCTTCTACAGAAATCGAGACAAATGGGGTCAAAGCTAGAAGCCTATTAGAGCGAATTTAGGTCATTTTTAAAAAGGAAAAAAGCAAGCTAATAAAGAAATCTAGAACTGGTTGAAAAGTGGAAAACGAAATGGACCAAATGGCATATTGGCGCCGAACGGCAGCATTGGAGGCGTCATTGGTTTGTCCTGCAATATTAGGTTTGGCGGGAAATTCAAATATTCTAGTACCTTATTCTCCTTCTTATGCTTCATCCGTCGGTTTTGGAACCAGATTTTTACCTGAAAGAAAAAAGGATCAATTTCTGCATTTTTGCGTGACGGTGTACCTGTCGTTCAGTCAACATCAGAGAATGAGCTACTTCGATTCGTCGCTTTCGTGTCAAATATTTGTGCGTATGGAATTCCTTCTCGAGCTCTAGCACCTGATTCCTCGTATACGCCGTCCGTTGTCGCTTCTCGCCGCGTGAACCGCCTGAAACTGGAAATAATTGGGGTTTATAGGTCCTAAAATGAGAACTACAGTAGCCTAAATTTTTTGTTTAATTATTTATTATACTTTTAGATCAAAAATTGGGTTCTAATAGACAAATAAAAATGTAGTCGAAGAAAAACAATTTTGTTTGATAATCCCAAATTTTTTAAAGGCGCATAACTTCCCAACCAGCGGTTCGGTTATTATAAAATTTGTAAATAGTGAGAGGAAATTTTTTAGGAATTCAGATTCTTTAAAATTTGCAATTTAGGTCAAAGTTAAAAGCCCTTCAGGTAATACTTACAGTTAATAGCCTCAAAGTTACGGTATCATAAAAAAGCCCAGTCAACTTTGCCTCAGATTATCTTAGCTCCTGTACAAAATATCAAGAAGCACTCAGCTGATAAAATGTTTATCATAAAATTGACAGCATTTTATTTGTTAAACATTTTTTTTATTCCTTTTACAAGAACCAAGATAAATTGGCTTAAATTAAGAGAACTTCTATTACCAGACAATTTTGACGATTCTAGAGCCCATAACTTGAGAACCAGTTGACCAAATTTGATGAAATTTATAAAGGTCGATAGGAAATTTCTTAAACATCAATCCGAAAGAGAGTATACCGTAACATTAATCACATCTATACTACTCCAATCCTGAAAAATCTGGTTGTGCGCCTTCGAGTTAGTTTTCCTTAGCGTCTACTTTGACCTAATTTATCTTGGTTCCTGTGAAAGATATCAAAAAGTTCACTAACCAAATGTTTATCACATTATCACCAATATTTCATTTGTAAACCACCTTTTCATACCTATTACATGAACCGAGATAAATTGGCTCAAAGTTTAGATGAGCTACTTGGCCCCATACTTGTCACTGGCCGGGCCGGGTCAAAATAAAAAATTCTTCGGCCCGTCCCGGTCCAGCCCTGTCGGCCCGTGTCAGGTTCTGAAATGTCAAAATTCTGAAATTTTGGAACTTTTTCGAAGTTTTTATTAAATTTTCGGAAAAATATCGAAGTTTCACATTTTCGTAAGGGTGAATTATCCCAGGAATTTTCTTTTTTAAGTGAAATTCATTCGTTTTCTCTCAAAAAATTTTAAAAAATCAGCTACCCGGGCGGGGCCGGGTCACCCGGTCGGCCCGGAATTTGACAATGACGCTTGGCCCCACCTCAACTTTTATTCATTCCCCATTATTATTATTATTCTAACTATCTCTTCTGATTTTTCCTCATCCCCCATTCTCGCCGTCTCATTCCTCCTAAAACAACCATAAATCATTGAAAATTTTGAGGGCATGAGCGAGATTCTTCCTCTTCTCTTTTCACACTTGTCACCCCCAAAAGTCCCCGAGAGACGGACCCCGAAGAAGAAGAAGAGATGACAATCATAATATACCATTGTTCAAGAAATACACTATCAGGTTGTAAAAATTGTCACTTCTGGGCAGAGGGATGGGGGGCGATTGAGCAATTTATTATGGGTGGGTGTCAAAATATTAGGACCAACGGGGGAAAGGGGGGGGGGGGGGGAACACAAAACAACTGATGCAGAAGAGAACCATCGGTTTGTTCAGTTTAGAGCACGCTTGGGAGGAGGAGGAGCAGAAAGTGCAAAATGATATTGGATGTGTGTCTTGGGGTCCGGATGTCTGCACTTCAAATTTTTGAAACCAACAAAACCTCTAATAGAAGCGTCCGTTAACTTTGAGATCAATTATCTCAGTTACTTCAAGAGATATCAAAAGCCTGTCAACTGATAAAATGTTTGTCATAAAGTCTGCAATATTTTATCTGCTGACAAGTTTTTGATATCTTCAAGAGAAACGAGATAATTCAGCTCAAACTGCAAACATAAATGGCGTTCTATTAAAGGTGGGGGGACATGAAAAAATAATGTTCTCGAAATTCCGTTTAAATATGCCCTCGAGGAGTTGAACTTGTCGAGACTAGTATTGACGGTGCGGCGCCGCTACCGACTGAGCCACGCGGGCAAAGAGGCAGCCGGCGCCCGATTGCATTCATAAAGGTGAGGACGACCGCTGTACGCAGAGTGACATTAAGCGTTGTACACCGTCACGGTAGAATGCATACCCTAGCTACAAAAATCCTACGAAAAATCTCCTGTCCCCCCATCTTTAAAGCATAAACGGTAAGTTGGAAAAAAAATTGGGAAATTTTCAAAAATTAAATAATTCTCCTAAATCTTGGATCCCTTATAATGAGATAGTTTATCTTTAAAAAGTCTGAAAAAACGAGAATAATGAATTTTTAATCTTTAAAGGGACGAAATGATCTACTCGAAAATTTCGGAACCGATTCGTTCAAAATTGAACCTCTGAATTTCATAAAAATCGGTTCATTGACTTCTAAATTATCGAGTTTTAGAAGAAAATAGGCTCTAAAACATCTTGTTTACATTCTTTTGAAATTTTAAAGAAAACCAGAATCTTCTTAAACTTGCCTTTCAATCTGTATGATTTCCATCAAAATTAACCAACTGGTTGACCAGTTATCAGCGCTTGAAGCTGAGGGGTCTTTAACTTTGAGCGGATTTATCTCGGTTTCCGTTCAAGGTGTCAAAAATAAGCCAATTAACAAAATGTTCATCATAAAATCAGTAATATTTTATCAGTTGACTGTTTTTTGATATCTGTTACAGAAACCGAGATAAATTCGTTTAAAGAAAAAGACGCCCGAGTAGCACACAGCAGTTATCCAAACTTTGAGGTCATTTATCTCAGTTTCTGTAAAAGATATTAAAAAACACGCTAACAAAAAATAAAACATAATATCAATAATATTTTATCAGTTGGTTACTTGCTAATAGCTCTTACAGGAATTGAGATAAATTGGCTCAAAACTTCGGGTGCCTAAATTTCCGATCCCTCAAGGGCTCTCCCCACAAATCTCGACACCACCCCCTAATTTAACAATTCGTGTCTCTATTAAATTCATTTTCATGTCTTCTACCCTTCTAAAACATAATGGATGTTGTGCTAAACCTTTCTCCCTATAACCCCAAACGGCGGGCGCTGCGCCATATGGTCGAAAAGAGAGTGAGAGGGACATGGGAAAGGGGGAATGTTGCTTGGACTGAAGACACCTGGACACAACGGCCCATTCGGACAGCTTGTCCCTCATTTTGAGACACGCGTGAGACTTTAATATCGGGAAAATTGGAATGGAGAAGAAGAGAAATCGGTTCAGATTTTGTAATTATTGTCTTTCTTTGGATTTCTTGGAGGTTTGGATTTGAAATGAAAAGAATAGAAAATGAATGTCGAGAATTCAGGATTCTAGGACAAACATTCAGAATCCTTTGAACACATTTTTTGTTAAAATTTTGTCTGCAAACCGAATAATTTTAGAGCCTATCGGTTCATAACTTGAGGTTAAGTGTATCAATTTCAACCAAATTTATACAGATCGAAAGGAAATTTTATGATCAAAAAATTTGACTCATCTTTAAGCCAATTTATCTCACATCCTGTGAAAGATTTCAAAACATGATAAACTGATAAAATGTTCACTATAACATTCTAAACATTTTTTTAGTTGATTACTTCTTGATATCTCCTACGAGGACCAAGATAAACTAGGCCAAAGTTGGGGTACCCTTTGGCCGCAAATTCGGCCTGTGCCCCTAACTTTGATACAATTTATCTCGGTTCAAGGGATCCCTCGGGCTGTCATACAAGGGTCACCTTAACTTTTAGTCAATTTATCTCAATTCCTCCAAAAGATATTAAAAAGTAGTTAACTGATAAAATATTACTGATTTTATGATAAAAATTTTATCAATTGGCTACTTTTGGATATCTCAAACAGGAGCCGAGATATATCGGCTCAAAGTTGGTAGGACGGTTGGGTAAGGATAATTTTTCGATGCTTGTCTGTTTGTCCAGATGTCTGTTCAAGTATTTTTCAATTTTTAAGAACCCCTTATTATTATCCAAGACTCTCCACACAACCTGTTAATCATTCCTTGTCATCACATCCCTTCCCGAATCATCATCAATCACAAAATCGTCAAGGGGGGTCAGAAATAAAAAGAAAGCCGCAAGACAGCACAAAAGAGCAACACAAAGTGCTCCCTCCTCGTCTGGCACAATCAGTGTATCAACTGTCAATAAGAAGAAGAAGAAGAAGAAGACACGTATACCGCCCAGGAAGAAGAGGAAGGAGTCCAAATACTTTGACAAGTTGGCTCTCACATACTGATGGGTGCAAATGGGATTAGTGTAATAGGTAGGAGACGTTGGGTGTCCCAAAAAATTACTGGAGAAGGAAAAAACTAAAGGAATTTGTGTTAGGAAAGCATAGAGAAATTTTCTATTGATTTGAACAAATTTTATTGAAGTTGACCTATTTTCAGCCGCGCGGCTTGCGGCACCGTAGCTCAGCCGGCAGCAGCGCGGCACCCCAAAAAAGAGTTCCTCTACTTTGACCTATATTATCTCAGTTTCGGTGAGAGATACTAAAAATGTGTCAACTAACAGAATGTTTATCATAAAATAAGCTATATTTTATTAGTTAACATCGTTTTGCTATCTATTATAAAAACCAAGATAAATAGGGCAAAGACAAAGCTATGCTGAACTAGCAAGTAGTCGCCCAACCAGACTAAGTTCTAGAAAATTGGTTTGTGAAAGTGTGAAATTTGATTAAAAAATCAAGTACATTCTTTGAAAAATTTTCTATCCACCTTTATAAATTTCATTAGATTTGGTCAACTGGTTCTTAAGCTGTGGGCTTAGGAAATCGTCAAAACCTATAAACGGGACCTTTATTTTTGAGCCAATTTATCTCGGTCCGGGTAAGAGATATCAAAAAGTGGTATCCTAACAAAATGTTTATCATTATATCAGAATTATTTTATTAGTTAAAAACTTTTTGACGCCTTTTACGCGAATCGAAATACATCAGCTCAAAGTAGACGCTATGCGGGGGGCCACCTCCAACACAGATGGTCCTTCGAGCGCGCTTTCTTTTGAGCCCATTTTTCTTTATTCCTGTACAAGATATCAAAAAGTTGTCAACTAACAAAATGCTTATCATAAAATCAGTTATCTTTTATCAGTTGACGGCTAATTGATACCTCTCACAAGAATCGAGATAAAAGGCACTTACGCTCCCCCTCCCTCTATCCTCAATTATTTTAAACCATCATTCAAACACCAAACAAAATTTTGACGCTTTTTCCTCTAAAAAGGGTGTGAGATTCGTTTTCTCTCTGTGTTAAATGTGACATAAGATTGGTAGGATAACAACGGCAACAGCGCGGGAACATAAAAGAAAACCCGCGAGGGCCGCCCGTTTCAAGCGGAGACCGTATCTCTAGATTACGGTAGTTGGGGAGGACAGGAAGGGTGTGGAGAAATACATCATCTGTGTTGTTTTTATGATGAATGGTAATCATGTGATTATTTGTTTTTTTTTTTGGAAATTCTAGGAATTTTTAGTTTGAAATTTGTAAAACCTGTAATAGAATAGTCTTCTAACTTTGATTTAATTTATCTCGGTTCCTGTGAAAGATATCAAAGAGTAATTAACTAATAAAACATTGTTGATTTTATCGTGAGTAGTTTGTTAGTTGACAACTTTTTGATACCTTTTACAGGAACCGAGATAAATTGGCTCAAAATTTGGATACCTGCTGAGCTGCGCAGTTGGGAACCTTGGGGGGGGGGGTGCAGCTTGAACCCTTCAGCCGGACCTATTTCAATTTACTATTTCCCATTATTATAAAAGATATCTTCAGATTTTGAAATCTAAATGAATATAATTAGTTTAGAATCTTCTTAAAATTCCCTATCGATCTGTATGGGTTTCATGAAATTTAGCCCAATGGTTCCGAAGTTATACGGTATCATCTCCAAAAAAATGGTCCCAAAAGCAGTTTCAGATTCCCGATTCCCCGATTTCCTCTGAAATCTAGAATCCCCAATTATTGGTCCATTTTTGTTACACTTCCTTCCCTTCAAGAAGTCAGTTTCTTCCCATCAAGTCAACCAGCCAAAAATCTATTTTCAATAGGATGGAAAACAAGAGTGATTCTATTGCAATAGTCCCCATAGAAGTCGCCACGGGTCTTGACACGAAAGATAAATGGGTTCGCGACATGCCATTTCTTTTTCTCCTTATTTTTCAATGTCTTTCTTGTGGTGTGGCTCCATTCTTGGCGCTCTTCACGTCAAGACGAGAGACGACGGGCGCCGCCTTCCTTATGCTTCATGTCAAAATGATTGGAGTCTTCTAGTGGGGTACTGTAGCTTCCGGAGGGGTGAGGGAACAGAAAATTACTCGAATGCAAGTGTGCTGCATTGGGACCCGCTAGCACATAGAAATCTAGAGCGCAATTGTTTTCATATGAGGTAAGTGAGGAAGCTTAGGATCCGAAACATATGCTTTACGCGCCAAAGCATAACTCAGCTCAAACTTGGAATTCCTGTACGAATTTAATATTTAAATGTAGAACTCAACGAGATCTACATAATTATATACAATTCAACTATGTTGGAATACCCAGTTTTTTCCTCGGAGATGATGAGAGGGAGGAAAGGCAAAAGAGGCATCGACCTCGGTGGGGCCGCCGGACACCCACTGCGCGCCGACTCATAACTCAGCTCAAGCTTAAAATTTCTGTACAAATCAAAAAGTGAAATGTAGAACTCAATAAAATCTACAAAATGACATATAATTCAACTATATTGAAATGCCAAGTTTTGACCCAACGGTGGTGAAAAGACGGGTAGGCAAAATAGGCACTCTGCTAGCTCCGACCACATTTCTGGTCTTTGGATCATTTTAACATAGTCAAATTATGTATTTTTTGTAGACCTTTTCAAGTTCTACATTTTACATTTTTGGTTAACTTGAAATTTCAAGATTGAACCAAGTTATACCGCCTACAATGTTTTCTAAGCTCCCCACCAACCTGTCGTCGAGTGCACTCGAGTCATCCATGGATACACTGCTCCGCCGCCTTTTTCCATATCATCGTCATCTCCACTGATGCCCTTCTTATCATCATCCTTATCATCATCATCGTCCGCTTCGAGTTGCTTCCAGTCATGATGACCATTACTGACACCAGATGGATTGTAGCACAGGGACTGAAATTTGGAGCTTTATTGTCTTCAAAAAACTGCAGTCTAATTTGAACCGATTATTATGAAATAAAGAAAAAAAAAATCAATGTAAGTGTGTCTCAACGGGACTCCCATAGTCTAAGGAGGGACAGCCCGAGAGAGAGAGAAAAGAGACAATTAATCTTGAAACTCTTCCTTCCTCTTCTCTTCTTCTTCTTCTCTTCCCGTCTCTTCCTTTCATTTCTTCTGTTTCCAACCACTTCACTCTTCCCCACCACATCCTAGCTTTTTCAACTTTTCCTAGGTTCGACAGTTTTGTACGATTTAGGAAAAACTAGTTTGGATTACTGTAGCTATACCGAACTGTTTCAATAGTCTTAAATTTGGGGTCCTTAGAAGTAGTTTGGAATTTTTCGAGTTGTCTGAAAATCTCAGAACATACTAAAAAAAATAGAGCTTCAATTTTGTAATTGACAACTTTTTTGAAAAAATTTAACCAAGCGAGGTATACGGCTAAATTTGGCACTTTCGGCACTTTGAACGGCATATCTCATCAGAATGGAATTTAGCAAAAAAGTTGCCAACTACAAAATTAAAGCTCTAGTTTTGTTTAGTATGATCTGGAGTTTTCAGACAAATCGAAAAATTCTGGAGTACTTTTTCAGGAGTGCAAAATAGACCATTTTTCACTGAAAAAGTCGAAATATGGTATATTTTTGTGCGATACTGTAACTCGCCTCAAAATTGACATTTTTCAGAATTTTAAATTGCTAAGGAGTCAGTAAAACACGGTTAATTTAATAATTAGTTAATTGAGAAAAAATTGAAAAATTGGTTCGGAACTATCCTGCAAAAATACCCAATTTTTCGGATTTTTAAAGGCAAATTTCATAAATGTTTGTGGCTCGAAAAGCGTACAAAGGCTCAAAAAGTGGGAAAAAATTCTTAAATATATGCTAAACATTTTTGAAATTAATGTTACATTCTCTTTGTTGAGATGCTCAATTTATAAAAATTTGAAGGATCTCTAAATCGTGATCTTTAAATTTCTGGTCCAAAAATTCCAAAATCTGAACCCTACCCAGTTTTGGGTCATCCAATCAATAATCTCAATTATAAAATCTCTCGAATCTTCTCATTAATTTCAATTCTCCTCTTCAAAAAGCCCCGCCCCATCGATATATCGTAGTCCTCCTCACCCCGTCGGCATATCGACAACAAGAGGAGGCAAAAAAAAGTGATGAAATGAAAAATGAGTCTCTCTTTTTCTCTCTCAATTTTTCATTAAAATTTCATTTTCAGCAGAGGTGGAGGTGTGTGTGTGTGTGAAAATCGAATGAATCATTTTGGGAGGAGGGGAGGTCGTTTTTTGGGAGATTTTTGGCGGGAAATAAGGGAAGTTAGGTTTGGAGTTAGTTTGAAAACTTTGAGATTTTGGAAAAGATAAAAAAAAAGGAAAAAGTAGCTGATGTTAGAAAAGGGAAATTATCAATTTTCAGTTAGATAGAGAGATCCAGGAGGTAAAAATAAGCTAGCTCGTTAAAAGCTAAAGCTAGAAGCTAGCGAAAAGTTAGCTTGCATTTAGTCGTGTGGGGGCCCTTCTATTAGAGGTTTTCCGGTAGCCAATTTCTTCAGCTTCTTGGGAAAATATAGATTTTCGAAATTCTGAGTTTATGGCGGGAATTTCAAAAATTTCAAAAGTTGTAAAATATTAGACAACTTCGCAGGAACCTTGTTCAAAATCTCATCTTTCTCCAAAAAACGAATTTCAGCCAAATTGCACAATTCCAGTTCAGGAAACTAGACATTAAACTTGACCTATTGGTTCCAAAGGTGCAAATTTGGATCTTTTGATTTTAATGATTTTTTAAACCTAGGTTATAAGTTCTCGAATTCAAAATTAAGCTCCAAAATCCTTGGCTCATTTTTGGTTTTGTATTTTCAGATTTATAAAGTTTAGCCTATAAGTTTCGAGCTTATTTTTGTGCTCCCCCCACTAACCTGATCTCCCAAAACAGGATACTGTGGTCCTGCTCCAATCCCCTGACTAGAAAAATACGAAGCGATTTGTGAAGAACTCGTCGGATCGTAATAACTTCCAAAATGTGCCGAAAGTGCTGCAGCCGACGCTGGATCATATATCGTCGCTAGCTCTGAAGAAGACGGTATCGGACCAATAGAAGACGTCGAAGAAGCCGATGAGCTGGACGACGATGAAGAAGATGATGATGCAGACGAACTGGCAGATTCTGGAGCCACAGCAGCATCTGCCGCAGAAGGCGATGATGTAGATGTGGTCATCTGGAAGAACGAGGGAGGGGTGAAAGTGATTGATAAGAATTGATTTCGAAAATATATGGGATAGAAAGGAGGAGGAGGCAAAAGTGGTGATATAATAAATGAGGATGGGACGACGAGACGCGTCGTCGCGGGTGTGGGGGGTGAACATTTGTTAAAAATGTGACGTCTCAGAGAATTGGGAAGCGACGCGCCCGCTCCGCCCACTTTTCTTATTGGCGAGGGGGCGGGGCTTAGGGGGAGAGGGGGAGAGAAGTGGTATATAAAAAAGCGCACCGGATCTTAATTACACATAATTGGTATGACTGGGAGAGTTTCTTTCAGTCCAGATGAAATACAACAAAATTATCTTGGACCTCTAACTATAAGGCTTGGGATCTTACTGTAGATGCTCCATTGTTGCAATTGAGCCAATTTATCTCGGTCGTGGTTTACCAGATATGACTAAAAACTGTTGTTAATATTATGATGAACGTTTTATGAATTGGCAAATGTTTGATATCTATCAAAGGAACCAAGATAAACTGGATGGAAGTTTAGATACCTGCTGAGCCAGATCCGTAGAACACCGACTGGCTCCTTCACATCTTTTGAACTTAGTTATCTTGGTTTCTGATAGAGCTACTAAAAATTTGTCAATTACGAAAATGAAGACCTTAAAATTTTACACATTTTGTTAGTTTACAACTTTTTGATAACTGTCCCAGGAATCGAGATAAATCACCTTGAAGTATGATGGCTTTTTCATCACACGCATTCGGAAGAGCTCTCTGTACTAACAAGGGAAGGAGCCGGTCTATTAGAGGATGCTTTAAGCTTGATAAGCTTTAGGCTAATAGAGTCCTATTATGAACCTGATTGCTTCCTTTTGTTGCAAAAAATCTGGAGAAGAAAAAACGAGAGAAAGGAGATGGAGGGAGAGAGTGATGGTGATAAATAGGAGAGCAGCGAATAGGGGGGGGGGGGGGGGAGTGGAGAGTCAGTGAGTGATTGTTATGTTCCTCGAGACGGGGTTCTGGGTGGTCATGGATTATTAGAGAGAAAATAATGATGGGAAGGACCTAACTTGTAAACAATTTGTCCCTGAGATTCTTAAGCTGTATGAGCTAGCTACATAAAATAGCCTACAGGGGTTAGAACATAAAGGAGAGGGATATCAAGAAACATATTCATTCCAAGTTCTGTCAATAAATGTGCTTTGAGAAGTTCACACCTGCTGAGCTACGCGTTCACAAGCTTGTAGTTCAAACGCCGAGCTTTAAACTTTTTACTGTCCCCTAATCTCTATCTATCATCGCTCAGACCTACAAACAGACAAGTTTTTCTAGCTTTTATAATGTCTAATGAAAAATGAGTTAGTTACACGATCCTTCCATTTCTGAGCTATGCGATATTAAAGAAAAAAAAGGGGAAAGCTACGGCGCGCCGACTTTAAAAGCGCATAACTCAAAAAGCAGGTAGCTAGAAGCAGTTTTTGAACTGAAGAAATGTGTAAAATTTCATGATTTCATGATTTATAATACAATTTTCTAATAGCTATTTTGATTTCAGAGTTATGCTAGTTCATACTGTAAAATTTAAAAAAACGGGTTACCTAGGCGTCCAATACCGTAAAACCTGCATATCTCAGTTCTTGTAACAGATATCAAAAAGTTACATACCTTTAAAATGTTACTGGAATTATGATAAACATTTTCTCAGTTGACCACTTTTTGATATCTTCCACCAGAAACAAGATAAATTGGGTCAAAGTTTAGGGTGCTTCCCCTGAAAAGCCGAGTTGGCGTCTGAGGGACTTCAAATTTTGACCTCATTTATCTTGGTTCTTGTTCCAGATATCGAAAACTCGTAAACGAAAAAGTGTTTATCATAAATACAAAAATATTTTATCAGTTTACCACTTTTAATAGTAATATTTGGTCCAATTTGCAGCCAGGAAAACCTGATAGTTCCCTTTGATGATACCTCAACCAGTCGGTTTACGACCCTTCTGGGCTGAACCTCCTGGCCTCCGGTCGCCCTCCACCATCGCCCTTTTTGACCGCCACCCTTTAGTGTGGTGAAACCAAGGAACTTCTCCAGAAGACTTCAAAATCAAAATTTCGAGAAACCAAAAGTTAGGGCATCAGCTAAGACACAATTCTGATCTATCTGTCCAGGTTTCAGCTTGATCGGTGAACTTTGAATGGGCGATAAGGTGCGCTACATATATACGCATATACGGAATCTGGTGAATGTTATTAGTAATGATTACCTGGAAAGATAACTAAGTTTAAACTGAAAACCTTAAAGTCTTAAAGGAACAATGATGAAACCTTAAGATACCTTTAAGGAATTCAGGGTACAAGAAGAAAAACAGGGAAAAGGGGAACATTTAAAACGACGAGGTCTTTAAAAAACAAACTGTAAAAGAAATTGCTACTATAAAAGTGCTGGATAGAAAATTGGGAAAAAAGCTCTAAGAGAGTCATAAACAAAATTTCAGACTTCTACTGGTCTCAACACTGTTTCATTTTCAAAGCGGCCGAATTTCTTCAGAAGTAGGAGCACCATCATTGAAAGAACGCTATCAATTTCCACTTGAATTAAAATAAATGAAAAGCATCGGTCACTAAATTGGTGTCGGGGACCACCACCATCGGAATCCCCCCTCTCTTCCCACTTCATGTCTTCTAATCCGGGCGGCGCAATAGAAAACAGAAAAAGATACACGTAAAAGAAGAAGGCGAAGGGGGGTGGAGCATGCTTCCTTTCTCTACTGAGGGCTCCAAAACGGCGGCGGCAAAAGATGAAAAGGAAAAGAGGAGCTCTAGGTCTCTGGGCTCAATTCATCACTGACAAGAGAATTGTGCTGCCATTCTCGAGGAGCAATGGGGTGAGAACGACAGGTACCGTAAGCTTCTTGAGGGAGTTGAGCGGGAGATGGGAATGAATGAATTTCGACTTTTAAGTTTCGCCGACACCATTTATTTCTTGCTCAAGTTAAAAGACCCGAGTTTGGAGAAATGTGTCAAGTGGAAGGGGAAGACTGATTTTGGAAAGATACCGAAGAGCATTGGAATGGGAGGAAGATGATGCTAAAAATAGAGGAATGGGGAGAAGGGCTCTGTGAGCCGTGGGATCTCGAAGGTTCGTAATTCTAGAAACTCGTAGTCCGGAAGTTTAAGGTCCGGGAATTAAAGGATCTAGACTGGTTCCTAAAAGATCTGGACTTTCTAAAATATCAAAAATTTAGGGAATTCAGAACTTTTAAGACGATTGGGAGCTTGGGGGTCTAGAAGATAGGATCTAGACTCGGGATTCCTGAAACACCACACGTTTGAGAACTTCAGAACTTCTAGAACCAATTAAAAAACTTGGAATTGTTTGGAACTTCAAAAAATTTAAAAATTGACTTTCAAAATTTCAGAATTTGTATTCCTAATGCATGTCAGTGATGTCAAAGAATAGGGTTATATGAAAAGTGAGAGCCCAGAAATAGAAAAATGAGTGAAAAGTCAGAATTTTTTGAGTTTTGACGTATTTTGAATGGACAAAGGATGTTAGAAAGGTACAAAAAACTTGGTGCAGACAAGGGTTCGTTTTGATCTTTTCAGAATTGAATTTTTCCTGAAAAAGTATATTTTCAGAAGGGAAAGTTCAGAATTTCTAGAATTTCAGAATTTCCAAATTTCTGAATCTTGGAATCTCTGAATTTCAGAATCTTGGGTTTAAAACACTTCAGAATTTCAAAACTCCAGAAATTCGGAATTTCTAGAATTTCAGAATTTCCGAAATTTTGAATCTCGGAATCTCAGAATCGTATACTTTCCAAACTTCGGAATTTCAAAACTTCATAATTACGGAGTTCTAGAATCTCGAAATTTCCGAATTGGAAAATTTCGGAATTTCAAAATTTTTACCCTTTTAAAGCCTTTCAAGTTTGTAAGACAAAAATGACGAGCTGGCACATCTTTCAGGTACCGCAAAACCTGTTTTAGAACGACCCCTCTAATAGAAGGGCCCCTGTAATAGAAGAACCTTCGGTACCTAGGAACAATAGGACCGGCCCGTCTAATACAGGTCTTACAGTATTTTTTAATGGTCACATTTCGAAATTATGCTTCTGAGAGAGCTCCACAGGGGCTGAGCATTTTAACAAAAAAAGATTTCCTATCGATCTGTATATTTTTCATTGAAATTGGCCTACTGGTTCTCAAGTTATGGACCAACAAAAGCAAGGCTCTGAAAATGGTCCCAAACTTTGGGCCCAGATATCTTATTTCCTGGAAAAGATATCAAACAGTAATTAACCAATAAAATATTGCTGATATTATGATAATCGTTTTGTAAGCTTATTACTTTTTGATATCGCTTACAGGAACTGAGATAAATTGGCTCAAAGTCAGAGAGGTTATTTCAATTGCCTCAAAGCTAATCAGCATTTATCCTGATTCCAGAATTCAAAACCTAGTTTAGTCATACGCGGTACGATGTATTTTCATATATAAATTTTGTTGTTACTTCGCGAAAAGAAACCGTCTCCGAGGCTACGGTAGATCCTAGGATTACATTATGCCTCTATATCCGATAGATCCTTATCAAGAGGGTCCGCATACCTCACACCTTTCAGAAGGGTCCATCTCTGCAAGATAAGACACATCTAACTATTACGCAATAAGCATAATAAAAAATTCTCATTAGTCACTAGATAAACGGACACACACACACCCACCTACGCAAGTTCATTTCCTGTGTCTATTTCTGTGATTTATGGACCCTCAAATCAGAAAAAATGGAATGAATGGCATCCGATTAGTCATTATGTTCTATGTACAGAAGTTTTGGAAGCAAGGGATTGATGTTCTTCGATTTCTCTTCTTCTTCTTCTTCTTCTTCTTTTTCCTTGACTTTTTGCTTCGAGAAGAAGGAAATGAACTACGGTAGGACAGAAGTTCATTAATCACCAAGAAAAAAAATCCTAATGAATACATTGTGGACCGCTTGGAAAACCGGGGAGAACA